TGTAATTAATTAAATTAAATAAATTAATGTAATATATAAATGAATATTATTAAGAAAAAAAACCTTGATTTAAATCGGCATAAATAAGTACTTCCATAAAATATGAATGCTTATATTATTTAAATACATTATTAAAATATATTTTTAAATATAATATAAAATATCATTTAAATATAATATAAATTTTTTTTTTTTGCATAACTTAAATGACAATAATGTTATATATAAATAAATTGAATGTATAAATACGTGTTTAATATGTAAATAAATGTAATGTCTAAATAACTCAATTAATTTAAATACATTAAATAAATCTAAAAAACAGAAATCAGAGACTCAGTTCACTGAACGACGCTCATCAAGTCAACACTAGACTCTAGGACACGGACTTCTAGCTTTTTGCTTCAAATAAGTAACTAATAACAAATAATAAATAAATATATATAAATACATTTAATATCTAAATACATCAATTAAATAAATAATTTAGTAAACAAATGTAAAGATGAATAAACAGGTTTAATATTTAAATAAATGAAACAAAATAAATAATTTGTATTACAATGAATAAATAATAAATAATCTGTATTACAATGAATATTTTAAGTTAATTTAAATCAGCATAAAAACTTCCATGATTTATAAATAGGTTTAAAATCTAAATAAAGCTAATATCTGAACAAATGCACGTTATGAATAAATATATATATTTTTTAATTATATAATATGTAAATAAATGTAAAGGTTAATAAATAAAAGCATGCATTTAATATTTAAATACATGTAAATAAATGACTTCTAATAATCTAATATTAATAATAATCTTAATGCATTTAATATCTAAATAAATCAAACAAATTTAATAAATGTAAAGATTATTACATTTGTTTTATATAAATACATTTCAATAAATAAATGATCAAATTAATTAATTAACACGTGTAATATATAAATAAATATTTATTAAAGTATTACAATGTATATTTTAGGTTCATTTTAATCAGCATAAATGCTAAAAGGATGTATAAATAAATAATAGTAATAAATGCAATACATAAATACTTTTTTGAGAAAAAAACTGCATTACAGTGAATATTGAAAATGATTTTAAATCAGCTTAAATTATACCATGATATATAAATGCATTTAAAATCTAAATAAATCTAATATCTGAATAAATAAATGTAATAAATAAATAAAAAATAATAATTATATAAATAAAAAATAATAATGTATATAAATAAAAAATAAATGTAATATATAAATAAATGTAAGAAATAAATATATAAATACATTTTGATTAAAAAAAATCTGTATTACAATGATTTTTATTTCACGCATTACAGAAATGACATTGACAGTTCCACAGTATGATGATATACGCTGAAAATGTGCTTGATTGACATGAAAATGTCTGAAAAATATCCCTGGCTAATAAAGCAAATATTGTTTATATTACAAAATAGCATTGCAAAGTATGTAAACATTACAAAGTTTGTAAACTTGCAGTCCATCCCAGAACTGGTTGGTTTCGTCCTCTCTTTAATGCCGGTACAGAAAGTGAATGGCGGGCTCTGCTGAGGGTTTTCTTTCTTCAGGCCGAATTCCCCTCCCACTGACACCTGTGCGCTTTGAAGCAGAGACTGACGCTTGTCGTGTTTGTGGTTGTCTTTCAGGGCCGTGGTTGAGAAATATCTGCTGGAAAAGTCCCGTCTGGTGTCCAGAGAGAAGAACGAGAGGTACGACTTCCAAACGTCTCTTCTGTGCATCAGAAACCAGGCTGCTTCGACGTTTGGTCAGAGACTGAGATGTTTCCCAGCATGTCTGTCGGCCCATCGCTCTCACAGCCGTTTCTGCAGAGTTAACCGCCGTATTATCAGCTCGTACCAGCTCACCGCGACTGCTGAACCTGCTGAAAGACGTTTCTCAATAGCCTGAGTGTGTTCAAAATATTGTAAAATAGCTTTGATTAATTAGATAAGTAGCATGTGGTTTTGGGATTTACCCTAGTGAACTGATTCATTCAAATGATTCAAATGGGGGAAATCCTACAGTACTAATAACACCATGCTTTATGAACTGATTCATCCGAAGGATTCATGTAAATGAATTGGTCTAAAAACAAGAAATCACCTTCTTCAATTTTAATATAGAAATAACAAAATTTACTATAGAAATAAATGCATATTCGGGGGGGGGCTGTATTACATTATTATTTAACTGTATTACATATATTTTAATTTAAATCAGGATGAATAAATAGTACCATGGTTTATGAATTGATTCATTCAAATGGTTCATGTAAATGAATTGGTCCAAAAACAAGATATCAAATTCTTCAAATTTAATGTGCAT